TATGTGGATTTTAGTCGTAGCAATAAACTGTTCTCCCCGACACTTCGATGAGGTACAAGGTGGAAGAGAAGGAGAAGAATAAACTGTTTGATCTTGCCCCGCACCTCTCTGGGTCTGTTTATGCGTAGCAAGTTTTCCATCGTCAAAGGTAATTTACAGAGATTCATAAAGTCAGGTAATGGTCACACACAAAAGTTTGTGTGTTTAGCTCTGCATCTAGGGAAAGATATCACATCTCTGTCGATATGGGGGGGGGGGGGGGGTCGGGGGAGGTTAGGGACAGAAACAGAGCTTTAAGGACACTCTTAAGACTGCTTTAAATTCTTTTGGCATCGACACAGCGACGCGGGAGGCTGCTGCGCAAGACCGTTCTGGATGGCGTACATCCCTCAAGCACGTTGCATCGTTCTGCCTGGCAGTGGAAGTTGCACAGGCAAAGAAACGGAGGCAGGCTAAAAGAATCGTAATGCTTATCCCACACCTACTGCGACTTCCATCCGTTTTTCACACTCTCAAGAATTTTTAAGGCTCATTGTCAGAGGCCAGTTCGGAATCATGAAGTAAGAATCGTGAATCATCACGCTTGTACCAGTTGACCTCCGGCGCAAAGTCAGTGTGTGAACGCACAGCTCGTTCACGCAATAAGCCGTGCCCAGTTTAGAGGCCAGGTCGAGTTCACTCAGCCGACACGGAGTGCTACGGATTTTGCGATGAACTCGGTAGAAAATACAAAAGGCTTGGTCCAAGCGGATTTGGGAACTTGTGAGCGGACAGTTGTTGACGACGGTTGTGTGCTTGTCGACAGAAAGAGACAGGACAACAGTTTAACGACGAGGTAACGGTTAGGTTAGTGACGGTTAGGTACAAATAGGATATTCGTATTTAGTGTCTGTGATAGGCCGTATTTATTGTTGTCGGCTAGATGGTAGAGATAGTTATGTTCTTTGTGTTGTAGATATTACAGGTAGTATTTGTTTAAGCAGTTAATCATAGGTGACGCGCCTGGTAATGGCGATTACACTGCCCGGGCGCGCTTAGGCCATACACTTCCCGTGTATCGCTGAAGTCCCGTTTGGCAATCGACGGCGGATTGATTGGCACTGAGACACTGCTAGCTAAGAGTCGTGCTCCCCTAGATCCATGGGAGCTGACCTGGGGTGATTAGTGAGTGTAAAGCTGTCATCGCCAAGGCAGCTTCGGATGGGAGCTGCTTAGTCCAGTTGAAGTGTTTGTATGTCTAATGTTCATTGTACATTAAAGATTATGGTTGTACTCAGCCGGAGTGTCGCCTTAAGTGTGTTTGGGTAGTAGAGTCTGTCAGCTGGCCTTCCTAGCGAGCCATATAAAATAAATAGAGTAGTTTAGGTCCCTGACACTCATATTGGACTAATCAGCCACCTTCGTACTCATAATCATTGAACATTACTACTTTGGATGAAAGCGGTCTTCATCCCACGTGATGGACGAACAACAAACAGGGAAACGATAATCTGCTTAGATTTTTGGTCCTTATTGCTGTATCCAGCTAGATCCATGTTTGTTTAGTGACGTCACATATCCACCTCTACTTCTCATAGTAATATATATCATTCTGGGTAAGCCGATAGCCAAGATTACTTATTTAAAAAAAAAAGCTGCTAGATTACGGAATCTAACCCAACGTTAAGAGTGACTGAGTTTGGATTTAAGAGTGACTTTAGCTAAGAGTAGGATCGTTGCTAATATTTGTAAGGTTGCCTGTTAACACCAACATGGTTGCCAGTGTAAACACACAAGTCTGCCCTGAGACGGGGTACTATGGATGACTGAGGTTCAACTCCACCAGGACCACACAACGAGCAATAAATACTCGGTGGCACAAAATGCTGCCATTCAGACGAGAATCACCCGGGCACAAGCCCAGCAAACCCTGTTCAACCATTAGGTTATATTAGGGCCCCCGACAACAGCCAGTGTGAGGCTTTAAGTTGAAAAATAAATTGTGCCCCTTAATAGGGCGGAGTCCTTTATTTTTATATTATTATCAAGACAGACAGAGAGAGAGAGAGAGAGAGAGAGTGAGAGAGAGAGAGAGCATAAAGTAAAAATTATTGTTTTGTAAAATTAGCATTGTTCTAAAAAAGTATTTTCTCTGCTAGTTTCAAATCCTTTGTTTCCCGTGTGGGTTCCAGGGCCCCATTGTGGGAAAAACAAGAATAAACCCATTGCATCTCCAACAAGCATGTTGTAGAGTTGACTAACTGGAGGTTGAATGCTTCCTTCGAAGTCCGAGTGTATCTGCCAGAGAGGCAAGGACCCAGCAATCTGCATACAGCTAAGTCAGAATTGTTAAACGGATATGCACGCAACACTCATGTTCTGGAACAAGACTAAAGTCCAGAGGTGGACAAACAACCAGAACTTTTACAACAAGACCTACAAACACTTGGAGTCACCAAGTGAAAAAAGAGGACCACTCACAGAGATGAATGTAAGCAGGTGATATTTGCACAGTAAACCTCAAGGGCTCACAATGCTGAAGATGAAGTGACATCACAAAAAAGATACACTGCAATATTTTGTCAACTTGTGAATGGCTACATACGATTTTGGCCGGCATTCTTGAAGTTGGTTTTCTATCGCTTTTGACATAAGGCAACTCATAAAAAAAAAAAAACATAAAGGTTTGCACCTCTCATCATCTGGTCTCTAGTCTTGACCAGTGGAAGAGGGAAAATCACTATTAGTAACTATGATACTTTGCATAGAAACATAGAGAGCAATCACTAGTAAACTACAAACATTCATTAATTGGTGTCTGTGCAGAAAGAGGGAATTCAATGGTAAGATATAACCACTAATGTGCTGTCCTTCCGATTCAAAGGCCAGAGTCTGACTGCTACACCACGGAGGCTCCCTTTAGCAAGCTATGTGTGTATAAACATATTCATATGTGTGTATGCAAACATCCCACGTGGGCATGCACCTGTGTGTGTGTAAATATATATGTAATATGTGTATGTGTGTACATGGTATATACCAACCCCCTCTCCAACACCCATCACCAGCTATGTATAAGCCACTCATTTTGGTGCAATTAACACTTCTGAGCCAACATACTTGGCACAAAGAAAGCAGATCACAATTATAGCTGAGGCTGCTTGCAGTAGGGTAAACATCATCGATTTGTGTGTGTGCTTTGTTTACATAAATGGGTAGATGGATGGACTACTAATTTGCATCTCTGGGAGAGAAGTAAACAAATTCTAGTGAATCGACAGGTAAAGAAAAGATGCTGGCACCGGATAAGACACATTTTGAAAAAAACTTGAGAAAAATATCTTCTTCTTGCCCACCAGCTGTAAACTCTGGCAGAAAGTTCTGGTTGTTCATCCACTTCTGAATTTTAGACTTGTTCCATATCCTTAGTGTTTTTTATGCACATCCATTTTACAGATCTGACTTATTTGTATGCAGGCTGTTGGTTCCTTGCCTCTCAGGCAGATGTACTTCAAATGAAACCCCCAATTAGTCAGCTCTTACGATATGATTGTTGGGGAGGCAGTGGGTCTATTCTTGTATTTCCACAATAGGGCCCCAAAGCCCACATGGTGAAGACAATATAACTAGAAGAAGTTTACACTGGAACCCACAGAGGCAAAGAAATAAAGGTACACCAAAACACAAGGAGGAGGAACTATAGAATGAAGTTTAAAAGATTGGTGAGCTGCATGTGAAGGCAAAGAATAGGACAACTTGGCGTGAGTTGGTTGTGGGCCTATGCTCTATTGGGGGATAGAAGGAGGAGAAGAATCACACAAATGTATTTAAAACAAATCCACTACACTTGAATTATTTCACCGTATTCTATGTTTATTTATATTATACCCCAGCATAAATAACCATTTGTAATCCAAAATGAACAAACTTTATTTTCAAAGGTCCACAAATTGGGCACACAGACCCGTCTTACGTCTGGCCTTTCCAAACACCCATCTTTCACACAGCAGTTGTGTTTTATCATTAAAGCCTGTTACATTTATATAATAATATACATATTATGAATATCAAGAAAAAATACAAAAATGCATGGGTGGTAAAATGCATGCACACACTCGCATGCTCACACATACACACGTCGACCCACTCACTTACATACACATGCATGCATAAATACATATACATACATAGGCTCTCTAAAAATGAGTAAACGTTTCACGCTATAAGTTATGAGTTGGGTTAACTATCTTTTTAACAAGATACTTATGTTGATTTTATCAATCAATATGACAATACCATAACATGACAACATCAGATAAATGGAATGCATTTAGTGTGCCTCCTAAACACGGAATCCTCAGTAACAGAGTCAAGTTAGCTGTTAGACTTACACTTTCCACGATTGAGTGCCACAGGTAGATTAGATCCCAATGACTATGGTTTCATGTACTCACCCACAACTCTGACAGCTTTGTGAAGAGACTGGACTATCTGGACTTGATTAGGAGGGGGCCCAACACATGCCACACAAAGCTCAGTGGAGTAACTGTATCTCAGCCCTCTACATATCCCACAAATCTGGAAACACTCCAATCTTTTATCCTGCAATTCTGTTAGCATGAGTTCACCAAGCCCACACTCAATAAAGGACAGCACTAGATGTTGGTGTATCCTGACAAGAAAGGGTGGTAGTTTTTACATTACAGGATGGCCATTTTTATTCTCTCCATTCTGCTCTATTCCTGGACACAGAAATTAAATTGCTGATTCTTTAGACACACTTATCAAGATCCACACTGCAGCGTATTTCAGTGCTAGCGTTTGGCCCACCGATAACTCCTTGACATGTCACTCCTGTGAACTTTAAATTATTATAACAGTTCAGAACTGCCTGTCCAAGCATACAAACAAGAGTCCCATGACCTTGCTTAATTTTAAACCACCAGCAAATGAAAAGAAGAATTCATTATAAAACAATCACAACAAGATCTTGTATTTCTCCGATCGAGGGACACGGTTGATCACCAGTCGTCCATCATAGCTGAGGGAAGCAAATGTCCAAGGGTCAGCACTTGACCAGCTGACAGCATAGACACTGTCTTCATGCTCCTCGTAAGTGACCAGGACACCATCTTAGGGGACTCTTGACTGCTGCAAGGAAACAGACCAATGATGATACATGTACAGAAATGAAACATCAGCCAACTACTCATGTAGGTTCTACCTGCTAAAGTTATAAAATGTTCTCATTTCACCATCCTCGCCTGGAAAGGACTGACTATACATTAGGGTAGTGCTTCCTGTAGCCATTACAGGTGCTATAATTATAACTTCCTGGGACTTGCCATGTTGGTCTGCCATCCAGAATGTTACTCCTTAGATTGCACTGGCGATCAAACCTTCAGGTGGAGCCCAGAGTGGACAAGAGAGACAGACAGACAAAGGTGACCACGGCCACCACTTTCTTTTTGTCTTGACAGGCAGTCATTTGCATCATTAACAAAAACCAGGTAGCAAAATGAAAGTAGCTAGCCACCCCAGAAAGATAATACAAGTGGATAAAAGAGTAGCTAGGCTCATACAAAAAAAAGGCAACCCAACAAAGCATTAGTTTAAAAAGCCAACAGAGATGAGACAGGAACTTGGAGGCACTAGAAAAAAGCCTGACAACACAGTAAAAAAAAGTGGCAAAGGGAGAAATGACAGTAGCAAGAAACTGGACACAGGTAACAAAGAGAGATGTACCTCTCATGAAGACTGTCGTCATCACCATCATCCTTCTCCACCAAGTGGCCGTACGGCTCAGAGGACAAGGAGACCACACTGTTGAGGATCACTCGGCTGTCGCTGCTTGAGGTCAACACTAGCTGGTCATGAAAGGTGTTGTATCTCACTGACCACACCCTGGGCAAGGAAAGAGCGGTTTACAGCTGAGGCGTGATTGAGACAAGCAAACACATTAACTCCTGCATCACAAACACATTACCCACTGCATCACAAATACATTAATTACTGTGTCATAAATACCTGAACTACTGTGTCATAAATACCTGATTTATCGTGTCACTCTTGTTCTACTTCTCAACTATTTTGAAAGTCTCACACCAGCAATGAGTATTTAATGACCATTTCTGTGTACTGTTACTTCTTCTTCTCTTCCTCCAGTGCCGACTGGTCCAAAACTTTACATACAATATGCCTAATGGCGTGGAAAAGGGTCCTTAACCTTTATTGATTAGGATATCTTCTGACCTGAACCTCTAGTCTATGATCAAGATTTAACCTCTGGTCTATGATCAAGATTTAACCTCTGGTCTATGATCAAGATTTAACCTCTAGTCTATGATATTTAACCTTGGTCTATGATCAAGATTTAACCTCTGGTCTACTCTGATCTGGTCTATGATCAAGATTTATAAGATTTAACCTCTGGTCTATGATCAAGATTTAACCTCTGGTCTATGATCAAGATTTAACCTCTAGTCTATGATCAAGATTTAACCTCTGGTCTATGATCAAGATTTAACCTCTGGTCTATGATCAAGATTTAACCTCTGGTCTATGATCAAGATTTAACCTCTGGTCTATGATCAAGATTTAACCTCTAGTCTATGATCAAGATTTAAGTCTATGATCACTGGTCTATGATCAAATTTAACCTCTAGTCTATGATTTTAACCTCTGGTCTATGATCAAGATTTAACCTCTGGTCTATGATCAAGATTTAACCTCTGGTCCATGATCAAGATTTAACCTCTGGTCTATGATCAAGATTTAACCTATAGTCTATGATATTTGATTAAAACTCTGATCTTACATTGTAATACATAATCATCCTCACTCATGCATATCAGTGATGGTAATGGTTCACCTCTCATTATTATCAGCAGGCCGCATTAAAATTACCTTAAATATTAACCTGCCAGCTTGCACAACAATACAGCATAAAATACTCATAAGGACTGTTTCATACATGCTTACATAAACAAATTCAATGCTGAACAACTGTGAAATAGAAAATATGAAAAATTCTCGTACCCATCAGTTTGCTAAGCTAACAACAGATGCAGACATCCTAATAAACTCACCAATGAGAATGTTCAGATAGCACTTTGAGGGGCTCCGTCACCTTTCGAGTGTCCCAAAACTTGACTCGGCAGTCATCTCCACATGTGACCAGGTAATACTGCTTGTTAGGGTTGAAGTCTAGGTCACGGACCAGCTGGCCATGGGCTGACTCGATCGTATACACTTGACTGCAATCAAAAATGGTTGTCAACATCAGATAAAGTCAGTTTCAGAAAGGAGAGATTGACATTTTTATCATTTAATAAAAGTGGTGTACAGGGGAATAAATGGCTCAGAAACACTGCTGTAAATAGTAAATAAAAGAAACAACTGACAATTCAAGCCAGCCTAGAATAGTGCTTAGTCAGTGGCTAACAAAAATGGCCATATGGAGTTCCATTTCGAGCATTAGCAACAGATACCTCATTATGCCTTGGCCTAGCGTATGTGAGGACCTATCACTTGACAGACAGATACCTCATTATGCCTTGGCCTAGCGTATGTGAGGACCTAACACTTGACAGACAGATACCTCATTATGCCTTGGCCTAGAGTATGTGGGGACCTATCACTTGACAGACAGATACCTCATTATGCCTTGGCCTAGCGTATGTGAGGACCTAACACTTGACAGACAGATACCTCATTATGCCTTGGCCTAGTGTATGTGGGGACCTAATACTTGACAGACAGATACCTCATTATGCCTTGGCCTAGCGTATGTGAGGACCTAACACTTGACAGCCAGATACCTCATTATGCCTTGGCCCAGCGTATGTGAGGACCTAACACTTGACAGACAGATACCTCATTATGCCTTGGCCTAGCGTATGTGAGGACCTATCACTTGACAGACCACCAGCAGTGTGTCTGCAGATTTAAATTTACAACTGAAAATGCCATGTGCAAAGAGAAGAGCCTACTATGTAATAACGAAAGTCAAAATCATTTATTCATTGTTCTGTTGTGTCATTAGATGTCACATAGGGCTTGCAGCCTATGTCTCCACTCTGTTCTATCTTGTACAATAAGTCTGACTGTGGATGGAATCCATTCCACCACCGGCTTCTCTCATCAACATTTGTTTCATGGCTTCTCGGGGATGTCCTCATCTCCTCAATTTCGTATTTCAGTAGCGGTTTGATGATTTTCTGTTGAGCCTTCTCATAATGTGTCCAGCATCATCAATAATGGGCAGCAGAGAACACTAACAACATGTGAAGTAATTATAGACAGGTTTTGATGGTGACCACATTTCCCACTGAATGCTGAGAGGTCTATGCAAACATGAGTCTAGCATTATGGGTGATGCTCTGCTGCTGTAAGAAGGGTCCTTAATTTAAACTTAATACACATATTTAAGCAGCATAACCACCTGGCACAAATGCCAGCAGACACTGCAATAATTCATACAGGGCACACAACAGTCTACCATATGTTGCTTACATACACTGTTTTGTTAACTGACTAATTGGATCATGCTGATATTATTAATGCCCTCAGAGAAATGGGAAGGATAGAGGACTTTGGGGGCAGTGAATCCACATCACTCGCCAGAATGGCAGGAATTAAGATCAGCATAGCAAAAAACGAGACGCACACCAGAAGACTTGTTAATCAACACAGAACTGGTACTATTAGCCATTGAACGTTGGGTTTCATACTGAGGGGAGGATCTGAGCAACTATGGACATGTCCGGAGTGCAATGATGATAACCCAACTAACTGTTTTGCTAGAAGAGATGAAAAACTAGTCCCAGTCACTGCAACTGGAACAAAACACTCCGCAGCACAAGGTAACAGCTGCCGTATGTCGGAGCTGTAAGCTTGGTAACTAGTTATCAACTTAATTTAAGAAAAAAAAAAAGAACTGCTGTAAAATTGTTGTAATACTTTTTGTCTAAAGATGGTACCATGATAAATCTGTCACATTATGCCTTGGCCCAGCGTATGTGAGGACCTAACACTTGACAGACCACCAGCAGTATCCATCATCTGACTACCTTAGTCTATGTTTAGAACTGTAACAAAGCAGGCACACAGATCAATAAACAATACAGAATGTCTCGTACATGACCAGCAGTCTTCTGTAAGTGAGGAACTGACCTCATTGTTCGGAGATCCCAGCCCCGGACTGAGGTATCATTGGCTGTGGCTATTTGATTACAGTTGTGGTGAGGGTTCCATCTGCCACTGGTCATTTTATGCTGGCCCTTTCCTTCCACATTTATACTACTGACCACCTGCAACGACAAACACAGACAACAACATATTATTGACAACCTAAAACATTTTACTGGCCTCCTGTGTCAACAACAAACAGTATAACAGAGTCTGTGATTAGCGATTAGAAAGGGCTATCAACTCAGACAGATCCATATGTGCTCCGGTCTTCTCTTCAGTAGCTCCACAATAGTAAAACGACCAATCACACCCATTCTGCGATGAATGATGTCTTGTACTCAGCAAAGTCTGTGTTAATACACAACAGACACACTTTTAACAAGACAACTGGGTGGACAATTGAGAAGCCTCCTTCAGTTAAATCTGACAAAGACTGGTTGCATTCTCTGAGCAGCAACACTGCAACTGCCTCATCATGTGTTCCTGATGGCCAAGTTACTTCTTCTCTGCCCATGGAGCTGGAGCTGGTCTCTTTCACCAAGCTCAAGATGATTCCAAATGGTGCATTTATCAGAAGTAGGGTCAACATTTTCCCTTCAAGACTGTTTTCTCTGGCCAACATTTCAATGTCTCTCTTGCACGTATTCTTGAGCTGTAGCAGTGGACATCTGGTTGTCCTACCACTTGGTAGCTACCCATAAAGAATGTTCGCAGGATTATTTCAACCATGTGGTGCACAAGACTGTCAGCGCAGACCATGTTATCTCAACAGTGGCCATTTGACCAATGTGTGAATGGGACACAAGGTCTGCACAACCTGGTCCTGTACCTACTTACAAACACACCCACATACAGACTAGCATCCTTCCGTTCTTTGCCTTCACCAGATGTATATTATGGCAGAAAGATGTGGTTGCTCTTTCCCTTGCAGGCTCCGATCTTGTTCCAGTATTTAAGTTCTGCATGCACATCCATTTTACAGATCTGTCTTATTTTTTTGCAGACTGTTGGTTCCTTGCCTCTCAGGCAACTTTAAAGGAAGCATGCCTAATGTCCCAAAGCTTGCCAAGACACTGGGACATTTCTCCAGTGTGCCACTAACATATAGGTTGGTGTCCCAGCATGTCTCACATCCCAAAGCTTACCAAGACACTGGGACATTTCTCCAGTGAGCCACTAACATATAGGGTTGTGTCCCAGCATGTCTCACGTCCCAAAGCTTACCAAGACACTGGGACATTTCTCCAGTGTGCCAATAACATACAGGGTGGTGTCCTAGCATGTCTTATGCCCCAAAGATCACCATGTCTCTCCACAGAAATGAAGCCCAAGAACTGGCACTGCATACCCGCTGGTTCCTGAACTTTAAAATTAGGAGAGTTCTATAACAGTTCGTGTGGAAATAGTACTTCATATATCTCTACACTATCTGTGTGTCCTAGCTCAGGGGAACTAAATATGCACACACTGAACTCAAGTGCTAAAACTTAATCATTTATCCAACAATGTAACCTGTAGTATGTGTGAGAACATTGAAGTTTGCCCCACTGTCCTGGAGTAATTTTCTCCTGCTGCGACTAAGTTGTCCGGGTCACATAAGGAGGTACAAACTCAGTAAATATTTATGCAACAGAAAGAAATACAAACTGGCATCTACCTTTGGGGCTGAGGAGGCTGTGTTAAGATCCCAAAAGACAATTTTATCCTCACACAAACCTATCACTGTGTGGTTGTCACCAGATGGTTGCCATAAAACACTGAAAGCAACGAGACAATTATTCACAGAATCAATAAGAAGTCTGCAAATAGAAAAAACACACAAGTATATAATGACAATCAAATATAACACAAACAGAATTGAGCAAGCAGAAGCAGTGTCCATGTCTGACAAAAGTAATATGAATTTTTATCACAATACTGTATGAATAATATAGTTTTCATGGGATTATAATCAAACTGGTTATAGTTTCCAATATACAGAATTTTTATTCTGCAAACACAAGATTCAAATGAAGACAACAGTAATACTTTATTTAATCTTTTGCCTTATTCTACAACCACAAGGTTCAAATGAAGAGAACAGTAATACTTTATTTAACCTTTTGTCTCCTTTCCTAGCCTACCGCTCTGAAGAAATCAAAACGAGTGATTTAGAATTTTGCCACAAATACACACACATATAGACTCTCTAACAACGCCATTCCTTCATTTATCATCCTGTTGTGCTATTGCATGTCACAGTCTATTCTTCCATTCTGTTCAATATCATGGTTGGAATCAGGTCCAGCGGCTTTGGCCTCCTGATCAATGTTCATTTTAGGGTTTCTTTTGGGCGTCCCTACCTCCTCAGTCCATCTGTTTTCTGTTTCAATGGTGATTCTATGCTGGTTTTTGTCTTAGAATGTGTCTAATACAGAGCCATACCCACTGTTTTATAACTGTACTGTGGACACTAGTGGTTGCCTAGACATTTCTCTTATTTCTTCACTCCTTTTGAATCCATCCCATGTTATTTTCATTATTTTTCTCAGATATTTATCCTTGAATGTATTTATGTTTCTTCCCATACCTTCAGTGGGTCTCCAACTTTCACTGGCAAATGTTAAAACTGTATGAAATAACATTAGAATTGAAAATGTGAACCTGGTTTTATAACTAAATAATTAGTCAGGCGATTAAAAGCTGCTGATGCCTTGCGATGTGTGTCATAGTTTCTTTCTTCATATTTCTTTCACTATCAAAATTACCATCTAAAAAAGTAAAATGATCTGTTATTTTAATTACTCTTGCCTTAACAAGGCCACACAGCACGAGAAAATAATAATAATTACCTTTTAACATCACTGCGCACCTCAGGCTCCAGGTAACACTTGAGGATCAGATGTGGATGTGAACTGGAGCCATCATCTCCTACAGGGCTGGGGGGATCTCTATTGTCTGGTATCTGCCAGACTGCTGCCTTCAGTTCAGATTCAGTCTCTGTGGCTATAACAAAATGACACAGCATTCTTTAAAAATTGTCCAGTACAAGCCTAAATCTCAAAGAAACAAGGAGAATATAATGATCACATATCGCCAACACCAGCAACAGCCAAAATCAAGCTCCAAAACAGTTTGGACAACACAGTGGACTGCTGCCTACTTGAACAACATTCAGCTTGAACAGTGGAGATGTAGGTGCTGAACGCATCACCAGCAGGCCAGCTTTTGAGCCACTGCAGTCCCGTAGCTCCACAAGGTATTTGGGCAAATAAAGAGTCCTGTGGCTTCACAAGATATCTGGGCAAATAAAGAGTCCTGTGGCTTCACAAGATATCTGGGCAAATAAAGAGTCCTGTGTCTTCACAAGATATCTGGGCAAATAAAGAGTCCTGTGGCTTCACAAGATATCTGGGCAAATAAAAAGTCCTGTGGCTTCACAAGATATCTGGGCAAATAAAGAGCCATGTGGCTTCACAAGATATCTGGGCAAATAAAGAGCCATGTGGCTTCACAAGATATCTGGGCAAATAAAGAGCCATGTGGCTTCACAAGATATCTGGGCAAATAAAGAGTCCTGTGGCTTCACAAGATATCTGGGCAAATAAAGAGCCATGTGGCTTCACAAGATATCTGGGCAAATAAAGAGCCATGTGGCTTCACAAGATATCTGGGCAAATAAAGAGCCATGTGGCTTCACAAGATATCTGGGCAAATAAAGAGTCCTGTGACTTCACAAGATATCTGAGCAAATAAAGAGTCCTGTGACTTCACAAGATATCTGGGCAAATAAAGAGCCATGTGGCTTCACAAGATATCTGAGCAAATAAAGAGCCATGTGGCTTCACAAGATATCTGGGCAAATAAAGAGCCATGTGGCTTCACAAGATATCTGGGCAAATAAAGAGCCCTGTGGCTTCACAAGATATCTGGGCAAATAAAGAGCCATGTGGCTTCACAAGATATCTGGGCAAATAAAGAGCCATGTGGCTTCACAAGATATCTGGGCAAATAAAGAGCCATGTGGCTTCACAAGATATCTGGGCAAATAAAGAGTCCTGTGACTTCACAAGATATCTGAGCAAATAAAGAGTCCTGTGACTTCACAAGATATCTGGGCAAATAAAGAGTCCTGTGACTTCACAAGATATCTGAGCAAATAAAGAGTCGTGTGACTTCACAAGATAGTTGGGTGATGCAGCAAACAGTGCAGGTAAAGTATGTCAAAGAAAGATATATGTGTCATCTGCTGACAGACGACATCAAGAATGAAAACATTGTCTGAGGATGTGGGCAAAGGATGACTCAAGGCTGGCTCCTTGTAATGTGAAGACAGAACTTGATGATGATGATGATGATAAGAATGAGTTACAAATCTTACTTTTGCTGAAGCAGGTGGAAAACAGTGAAACATCCGATACTGAAGAGCTGATATTCCAAATCTCTCCCTCTTGGTGAAGAAAAATGGTTTTGTTGATAATGTTGTTTTCATCATCAAAGTCGATAAAATGTACCTGTTTAGGTGACACAAGAGGACATGTTATGTGAAGTTAGTTAGTTAGTTAGTTATTCCTCTTGTGCCAAAGATGGCGCATAGGGCAGAGGTCATAGCTTTCCATGTCTGTCGGTTCTTTGCCACTTGATGTAGGTCTTGAGTGCGACTGAGACCTATGGTTGAGCTCTCCCTTGTGATGGTTCTACGGAGAGTTTCTTTTGGTCTTCCCTGTTTTCTTTTACCCTCTGGTGACCATATGAAGGCTTGGTGGGGAAGTCTCTGTATGTCCATTCTGAGTACGTGACCGATGTAATTCCAGCGACGCTTTCTAATAAAATCAGACACATATTTTTGTTTTGTTTCCTGTCTTATAGATGTATTGGACCTAAAGTCCGACCAGTGAACATTCAATAGCTTTCGGAGGCATCTATTCTCGAAAGCGACTAGTTTCTTATCGATTGATACTGATGATTTCCAACTCTCACAACCATAAGTTAGCACTGGGATCACACAGGAATTGAAGACCTTAAGTTTCGTGTTGTTGCTGAGTGATCTTGACTTCCAAATGTTTGACAGTTTGTTAAAGGCACTTGATGCTAACGCGATTCGAGTCGTTATTTCTGATGTTGTATCTCCCGCAGAGGTTATCTTGCTCCCTAAGTATGTGAAGCTGGTGATTTTTTCAAGAAACAATATCCTTTAGTTTGATGTCTTTCGACTCGTTGGTAAGATCGATGATTTTCGTTTTGGCTGCGTTGACCTGAAGGCCGATTTGGCTTGAAATATTCTGGAGGCGGTCCATTTTTTCCTGAGCTTCTAGATGTGTTGTGCTCAGGAGTGCTAGGTCGTCAGCAAAGTCAAGATCTTCGAGAACTTTGTCGACCCATTTGATGCCTAGATGTGTGTCCTGTGTGCATTTGCGCATGACCCAATCGAGTGCTATTCCGAAAAGCATCGGTGACAAGACACATCCTTGTTTCACGCCTGTTTCTACTGGGAACCAATCAGAGTTACCAGATTCCGTTCTAACAAGGCAGCGGGAATCGGTGTAGAAGGCCTTTATAATATTGACATATTTATCTTGGAAACCATAGATTGTGAGTAGCTCCAGAGTGTAGGGCGGTGTATGCTGTCAAAGGCCTTCTGAAAATCAACAAAGTTGATGATGAGTTGGGATTGAAACTCTACTGACTCTTCTACGATGGTTCTGAGTGTGAATATATGGTCGATGCATGACCGATTCGGTCTGAATCCTGCTTGTTCTTCTCGGAGTCTTGCATCTATTGGCTTTTTCAGTCTCTGCATTAGCATGCTGCAGAACAGTTTTCCTGGTACGGAGAGTAGGGTGATACCACGCCAGTTGTTGCAGTCTGCTAAATCACCTTTTTTGGGCAGTTTGAATATAACACCTTCTTTCCACTGTTGCGGTGGGGATTCATTTATCCAAACATCATTGAACAGCTGTAGCAAATATTGTAAGGTGTTTTCGTCTGCTGCCTTTAACATTTCAGCTGAGATTTCATCTGCGCCAGTAGCCTTGTTCTTCTTTAGTTTTTTTATGTGAAGACTTCTAGAAAAGAAAACAAGCAGCTTTTAGAGGATTCATTGAAAACAATAGTCTATTCAATGATTGGTTCACAGCAAGCACAAATGACAATACACAAATCCATGTTTGTCATTGGCTATTTTTTAAAATTAAAATGAGGCTGCTGCCTGGCTGCTTATAATTCCAAAGATATCCTTGCCTCTCTTTTCTATTCTGTGTGGTTTGAAGGAGTGATCAAATAACCCTTATGGCTGCCAGTCTCTCAGCCATTTCACTGATTTTCTGTCCCCGGTATTCTCAACATTCTTCTAAATACGTTTAGTTAAAAGATGGAGCTGCAAAAAACCCTTCTTCTTTTATCATCTCAATATTACCACGTTTTAGCCCAGTGTTGCGGTTTTCTGTATTTGTTTTGTGCTTCAAATAGTGGCTTGGCTGATGGATTTGTTCATCTTTTTGCAGGTTTCAGCTATATCATTTATTCACCTCTTCCTTGGTCTTCGCCTTGCCTTCCTTCCAGAAGTTCTGCTGTAAAAAATATAATAGTTGTTTGCATTTTCATTAGATGGCAGAACCAGTTTATTCTATGTTTGTCAATATAATTCAGAGATGGTGCTATTCCAAGCCTTCTTAGATCTATCTGAGTTCTGATGCAGCAAACATCAACAAGATGTTGAAGCAAGAAAGTACAGCAAGGGAGAGGGTGACATGATGTACAAACTGGTGCATGTCATTCTGAACTCTGTCAATCAAGAAATTCCATAAACCTCCGTTTAAAAAAAAAACACATGGGTCATGACCCTGTGGGAATTCATGTTTTAAAAAATCCTTAAACAACAACAATAATTCTACACAAGTCACACACAAATAAAACAAAATATTTATTAACCTTTTTTTTTCTAGAAATATTTAGAGATATATAAAGGTAGTCATAAAAAACATGCGTGCGAAAGGGATGTCTTTTGTTGCCTCTCCTATTTTTTACTGGCAATAGACTGGATTATGAATAGAGCAACTGCTAACACCAGCAATAGAATTCGCTGGCCCCCTACAGATCAGCCTGATGTTCTGGACTTCAATGATGATATAATATTCTCCTAAAACTGCGGGACAGGAGTAAACAATAAACACGAATGGGGAAGCATTAAATGAAATGCATTCCCCAGGGTCTAAAAACAACATGTATCAAGTGACTCACGCTGTGACCCCGGGGCATCTATCACTGAGGTTTACTGGAATATCTGATGTCAACTTGACTTGGGGAAAAAAACACTATTTGGTGGACAGGAAATGCCTTTAAAGGTTACTTTTAGTTAATATATTCAATCCTGACCTCCTAAATGTTTGCGCAGGTGTGAACGCTGCCAAAAGCACTAATTATGCATCTCACAAAAACAAGTTGGAAAGGTTACATTTATGGAAAACTGGACCCAACTGAAAGTGTCGGTTCTGCAGCTCTCAAGGTGACAGAGTTGAGTTTCTGTGTGTACTACTGACTAGGACAAGACAAGCATGGAATTCTAACAATGCTGAAGCATGAACAAGCCAGACTAGTGAATGGTGCCAGGAGTCAATAGCAGCGGTGAACCTGGCAAACTTCAGCTTGACCTAACTCTCCTTGAGCCCTTAACATTGTGTGTACACAATTTTTTGTTGGCAACTTTACGTTTATCCAGACGATAATGTAATAATGTTCCTATAGAGAGATGTGGCAATCACAGTCTATGGTGACATCAGTAAACCTGTGCATTGTAAGCATGTGTGGTTATGACATCAACAGAATGAACACAGTGAAATATATGTCATCAGAGACAACCTATTGGTGTTACCTTTCCTTTGGTTATGCTATTAATTTTAGAAAATCTTGATACCTGATTTTCAGCCCGCAGTGACTGAGTCCCAACTAAAAAGTGAATGCTGTCTCCTTCAGCTTCCTGGGCACACAGTGACCTGGCCTGTAATCACAAGTATAGAACATGTGACAGCAATGGACATGTCTGACAGCATGTTTTTCTAACACCGTTTGGTCACATCCAGTAACCTTTAGTATATCGGAAGTAATAATAGATAGCACATGCATGTGTAAGGAAGACTGCAGTCATGCTGACAACACAACTCTGAACACACGCTGACAAGGAGTCACTTGTGTGTATGGTGTCCACTTCTGACTACAGAAATGCTTCAGTTGATATTTTACAGTTGTAAAATTAGTAATTACACATATAGAGTTCAGTCAAATACAATCTATTGGACAAGTGTTTATTCAAATAACATCTCTTGAACAAGAATTGAGACAAATAACATATCTTGAACAAGAATTGAGACAAATAACATATCTTGAACAAGAATTGAGATAAATAACATCTCTTGAATCAGAATTGAGACAAATAACATCTTTTGAACAAGAATGCAGACAAATATCTTTTGAACAAGAATGCAGATAAATAACATCTTTTGAACAAGAATGCAGACAAATAACATCTTTTGAACAAGAATTGAGACAAATAAAATCTCTTGAACAAGAATTGAGACAAATAACATCTCTTGAACAAGAATTGAGACAAATAACATTTCTTGAACAAGAATTGAGACAAATAACATCTCTTGAACAAGAATTCAAACAAATAACATCTATTGAACAAGAAATGAGACAAATAACATTTCTTGAACTAGAATTGAGACAGATAACATATCTTGAACAAGAATTCAGACAAATAACATCTGTTGAACAAGAATTGAGACAAATAACATTTCTTGAACTAGAATTGAGACAAATAACATCCCCCTAACCACTGCATTCACATTAGCTTTGATGGCACAGCTTTACTTTGTACATTTAAAAAAAAAGTTATCTCTAATGCAAGACTTTTCACTCAAATTGCTAAGGTGTTAATAAAAAACAAAAAAACATTATGCTAAATCAGATGTACATCTTTAACTCAGCATACTTGTCCAGAAGGAAGAAACTGAGAAGAGAGGAATTATGCTAAAGCATACTTGTCCAGAAGGAAGAACATTGAGAAGAGAGGGATAACCATCAGCATTTCTAAAACTAAAACCAACGTCGTCTAAAGAGATGAGAAGAAACATCAGATCATGATGGGACGATATGCATGGCCACAGGCCAACCAGTTAAAATTCCTTGGACTTCTGATAAACCGGAATGGAAGCATTACGACATAGCAGCTTCTTCTTTACGTCCTCTTTTACCCCTTCAGGTGTCGAGGGAGATATAAGGTCCTGCTTCGTGCTCTTCTGTCAGCTTCGACCACAGACACATTGTGGTGCTGTAGAGTTTCTCTGATGTTATCTTCTCATCTTGTTCTTTGTCCAAATCCTCGCTCTACGTCCCTCTCCTCTTTTGGTATATGCTTTGTATGGTATATCATCAGGAGGCATTCTCTCCAAGTGTGCAAACTATTTGATTTGCTGTCTTTGTAAGTAATTTGGAATTGGTTATGTGCTGACTCTATCTCATTTGACCTCATTCCTGATTTTATATCTTCTGGTCACTCCTAGTCTTTCTCAGACATCATTTTCATGGTTACTAATTAAAAAAAAACGTTTTGTTATGACTGACCAAGAATGGGTATGAATATGCTTTGTATGAGATGTTTCTCTGTCTGATAAGGACTGCCTTATGCTGTAAAAGGGGTGCTAGCTGTCCCAATACTTGGCCGACTTTACTGCATCAGATGTTAATACAGAGCTGGTTACTCGAAAAGCAGCAACTGGGAGAATTTTCCGGGTCATAAACAGAGGGATTCTTAGCAGAAGAGAAATTGGCAAGAGGACAAAACTGGTTGTATACCGCTCTACTTTTGTGCTAGTCCTGACCTATGGGTGTGAGTCATGGGCAATGACAACAGCTCACAGAAGCCAGCCTCAAGTCTAAAGAACTGAGGAACCTAAGAAAGGTGGTTTATGTGAAGGGGGGACACAGTTTGCAGTCAGACAATACATTATGATCTGCCAAGCCTCACAAACTTGAGTGGATCATCACAGTTATGATGGATCAGATATTTATGCAGATTGGGCGAGAATGGGCCACCATGGCAGGTATTGGAGGCCAAGAACCAGGCATCCATACCTCCAGGACAACACGAGGTTCACTGCGAAGACAATATCCAATCCCTGACTGACAAAGGAGTAGAATGGAACATCAAAAACAAAAAAAACTGCTGATAGAGAAATCTGGAGATTTCTCTGGCAAACCTCTCTATACCCCAAGGGAGAACAATCTCTCTGGCAAACCTCTCTAAACCCCAAGGTAGAACAACCTCTCTGGCAATCCTCTCTATACCCAAGGGAGAACAATCTCTCTGGCAAACGCCTACACTCCAAGGTAGAACAATCTCTCTGGCAAACCTCTCTACACCTCCAGGTAGAACAATCTGTCTGGTAAACCTACACACCCCAAAGTAGAACAATCTGTCTGGCAAATCCCTAAACCCCAAGGCAGAACAACCCCTCTGGCAATCCTCTAAACTCCAAGGTAGAACAATCTCTGTGGCAAACCTCTCTACACCTCCAGGTAGAACAATCTGTCTGGCAAACCTACACACCCCAAAGAAGAACAATCTCTCTAGCAAACCCCTACACCCCAAGGTAGAACAATCTCTCTGACAAATCTCTATACTCCAAGGTTGAACAATCTCTCCTGCACACCTCTCTACACCCAAGGTTGAACAATCTCTCCTGCACACCTCTCTACACCCAAGGTTGAACAATCTCTCCTGCACACCTCTCTACACGCAAGGTTGAACAATCTCTCCTGCACACCTCTCTACACCCAAGGTTGAACAATCTCTCCTGAACAAGGTTGAACAATCTCTCCTGCACACCTCTCTACACACAAAGGTTAAACAATCTCTGACACTCTCTCCTCTCTATACACTGAACAATCTCTCCTGCACACCTCTCTACACGCAAAGATTAAACAATCTCTCCTGCACACCTCTCTACACGCAAAGGTTAAACAATCTCTCCTGCACACCTCTCTACACGCAAAGGTTAAACAATCTCTCCTGCACACCTCTCTACACCCAAGGTTGAACAATCTCTCCTGCACACCTCTCTACACGCAAAGGTAGTAAGTAAGTATTTAAAACCAGTTGTCCAGGAACAGTCAAACACAAAAAGCAGTCTTATTCTGCACTCATCCTTAAGAAAAAAAGGTAGGCATGTAGTGTGTGATGTACAGCTAGGCTGTGATATCTATTGTTATTTTGGTCCAACACATCTGATCGCAGCGATTCCTTACTTAGCTCTCTTTTATGACATGCTTGTTAAAGAGCAGTGGGTATATTCTTGTTTTCCTCTAAATGGGTTCCCAAAACCCACACAGGGACTAGAAGCAATCCAATTCTCCTAAATTCCTAAATATCAAAAGTATAGGTGTCTTGCACTTTCACAAGGATACTCATGCTAACGCAAGTCCATTTCTTATTTGTACACCCCCCCCCCCCCTCCCCGCTTCACAGCAAAACAAAAATGTTAATCAGAAAATAAATTTTAAAATAGTGTTTATCAAAACAACTTGGTCTGCCTCTGTATGGAGAATTTTTTGGGTTTTTGTTTAATGTCAGCATTTTCCTTGTTGAATTTACCCTTGTTAATAATGTATTTGTTTTTGCAGATGTCTTAAACAGGAGTGCAGCTATAAACTCAGGTGCTGACAGTCAGCTAAATCACTTAACAAGCTTTGCAAGAATCAATTACAGTGGTTTAAAATTTACAACAGTTAAAGCTTTGTTAATAGTTTGTACCTCAACACATATACAGCTTGATGACTGTCGTATGGCAGTTTTGTCGCGCACCTTTACTTACGGAATATTTTCACAAATCCCTCAGGTGCTCTGAGACAGGAGTGTTTTGAATGGTGGCTCTCGTTCGTCTAGAGGCCTAACCCTCGGTTCAAACTTTCCATTTAACCTGTCTCAGGGATGAGGTGACTCGAGCCCTGACTCCACAGGGTTATTATGAACACTTGGGTACCTCTCGGCCAGACGTCCTCATCACTAATTTTCCCCCAGACTGGTAACAATGTAACACAGTCAAACAAGTAAACAACAGTGATTATGACAAGACGTGAATACCTTTCTAACTATGACAATTAATTCACCACAGTGATTTAGCTAAGAACAGCAAGACTGATGAACTATAATTGAACTGTATTAATAACTTCATAACAAGAAAGATCAAAAGTAGCAAGAAGAATCAAATGAAAGATTGTTGAATTCTCTAAAGAACAAAGACAAAGAAAGAGTCTTCCTCCTAATCTACGTCTCTTTCCGGTATCATCACAGCTGAGGTGAGGGACAGATTATAAAGGCCCATTTGGAATCAAGCTGCCTCTGAATGTCACTCTGACTTATCTGTTTAGATCTTGTAGCTCCTTAGGATGCCGGAATGGAGTTTCGGACCACCTCACTTCACAGAACTACTACACGAGAACGATGCAGCTTCTGGAATCGATCAAGGACAATCAACTCGAGATCGGAAGATGTCGACTCTAGTACCGTCTACACATTCAGCAACCGCAATTCACCACACGTCAGTTGCTTCTTGGGTGGTGGTAGGTGGAAGCACTCAGTTAGACCACGGACGCTCGTTGGATCTTCAGAAATCCCATGATAAATGGAAAGAGAATAAAGAATCTTGTCTTTTTAACGGTCAAGTGGCAACACAAAAGGAAATCGTCTGCCTCATAGACCGGACCATAGAGAAGTCACGCATAAAAATACAGTCCCCAACTACGGCAGTTGGTGTAAGAATCCTGCTCAAGTACGCGGTGAAGTGGTCAGACAATTTATTTTAAATAGGCGTAGAAAATGTGTCCTAACGTGTAAATCGACACTAAAAGCCTAAAAGAATCAATATCCTAGTGAATTATAGGGATTTTTCTTATCTGGACTCCCCCACAACAAACGAACTATATAACTACGGTCGGCCTATCCTATATCATAGTTACAATGACGATTTTGGGGGTGTTCAGACTGTGGACCCGCCGAATGCGGTAGGTGTGTGGATTCTGTCATGCGACATCTACTGGTAATTTGAAAAACATTAATATGCCTGCTTAGAACTGGTGCATGAACTCAGATGAGGTACTGTTGGGCTATGGTTTTCAAGACTTATTTAACAATGTAGGTTTTATAAGGTTTCAGGAAAGTTCTCAAAATCAAGTTATCCTAGAAACCCCCAATTAATGGTTTCAATCACTTTTACTGTGCAAGGATAGAGCCTTCAGTGCTTCAGTTTTATTTTGATCACAAAGTTAATCTCTAAACTGTACGAAATTGGAGCACAGAGAGGGTTTAAATGTGTTCACGTAAACCATATAACATTTGCTGCTACAATTACAAAAATGGAATTGTGGGAAAAATAGTGGTTAAAGAAATCCTAAGACCCCACCCCCCCTCCCCCTAAGTTGCCCTCTTGTTTCTCTCCATATTTCTAAGTCTGGATGGGCTTTGAAGATCTTTGCATATCTTTACATATGCCTATTCGGAAACTTAGGTGGCTGCAGAATTTCATGTATATCTGAATCTGTTAGTATTATGTAGTCTAAAGAATATATTTAGAAAAAGAGACATATAACAATCACAATGAATTATTAATTATTGTATTTGCTGATATATTTAGTAACTAATTGATTTGTAGATTCAGAAAATGGCGCAATGCCGGTCGTCGCAATATTGGTGGGACCATTATTTGATTAAAATTGATCGCGAGTGCAACTGCTGATCTTTTGGTGACTTCTGCTACCATCAATGATGAACTGCATTTCTAACGTCAGACTGTTTGTGTTAGCACTTCGGATGGCTACCATATGCTTTTTAATGCGAGTGTATGCTAGATTTGCTGACACAGTAGTTTGTCTTTCCACAAGGGACTGTGATAAACATTCTGTGTGTTTTTCGTTGGCACAGGAGCGGAGCAAAGATGGGGTGACCCGTCTGCTATGAAGCTGAAATTAAAATTACCAGATTACCAGTAACTAAATATTATTTAGTTACTGGTAATCTGTTATCTACTAATGAGATGTAGTATCAACCCCACTAAATAAATTATTTAAAATAATTTCCAATTTTAGTGGTGGGGTTGATACAAGTATTACAACAATCATTGATACATATCATTAGTAGATAAATACGAGTAAAAAATGTACGTTTAATTAAAACAACAAATACATTTCGCTTGAAGCTTTAATTTTGAAAACAACTCTGGTCGTAACTGCTATGAGACAATATTTATAATAAAGCAGCCAAACCTGAAATTCCAAACCATAAATAACCGGAGCATCGTCTTCCATTTTGTCGTCTGGTTACAACATCCGGCGCACGGACGGCACTTCCGTTGTTGATGTTTCTATGACAACGGAGTCATTTAGGAAGATAATTTAATATTGTTGTTTGCAGCTCAGCTATCAACAATGAGTTTCCGTGGGACTTTCGTTCAGTCCCAATATAACAAAAATGTTCAACTGTCCAGTCACTGATTTTGGAAGCTAAGCAGCAGTGCAGTAGTAATCTATAAATTATTATATATCCACCTTTAACCCGAAGTAAGTAGCGTTACTATTACTAAGTAAGTTAGCAATAGTTCCAATAGCTCACATACACTACCCTGTTAGTTTTCACTAGTGCCCAGTTTAAACAGTCATTTACTGCTGTATTCAGCTAGAGCTAAAGTATATACAAGTAATCGATACGTTTATAGTAGAGGCTTAAAGACTATAAATATCGTGCAATTAATGCGCCATCAATAATAATATAAAACAAGGAAAACAATAACACAACAAACAGCTGAAACTTAGTAGTAGTGTATCATCTAACGGGTTATAGCCAGTTTCTTATATTTTTCCATTATTTTATATTTTAATTTTGACTGTTAGCAAACTGTTTGATAATATCTATTGTATTCATATATTACTGTGTGTACAAACAAGCTGGAAACAATGGGTGGACTTTTGGCTCTACTGGCAAATCCGGACGAAGAATAAACAGCCTTGGACGACTTAGTGAGAGTTCTCTCCCGTCGCCGCACTCCAAACAGTGATCGGAAAATCCACAACGAAACAAAGAAGACAGTCACGTCGACATCAGGGCTGCCAATGCTTGGTTGTTTGCCCCAGATCTGGGGTTTTTTTTTCGACGCTGCAGGACAATTCTGGGTGTTTTTTTTTGGGTGTGTTTTGTTTGTTGGTGTTTGCCGATTTGTATGCTTTAATGATCGATAAATTTGCGTGGTTAGGGGGGTTAGGGTTAGGGTTAGGAGTAGGATTAGGATTAGGGTTAGCGGTAGGGTTAGGATTAGCGTTAGATTTGACAATTTTGACGCCGGAGTTCCCTATAATCGCGCACAGTCCCAAACACACAAACAAACAATCGAGGGCCTCTGGATGCTGGTCACACGCACAATTCGCCAACGATTGGGGGCACCAGCCGCACGCTATTGGCGTCATATTTGGCAGAGTTTCAGTGGCGCCACTCCCACAAACATCATACTGTCGGCCAGTATTTCAAAATCCTACGTCAAAATGTTCACATCTAACCCTAACCCTACCCCTAACCCTACCCCTAACCCTATCCCTAACCCTACCCCTAACCCTAACCCTAACCCTAACCCTAACCCTACCACTAACCCTAACCCTAACCCTACCCCTAACCCTACCCCTAACCCTACCCCTAACCCTACCCCTAACCCTAACCCTACCCCTAACTCTAATCCAACAACCGCATGATGATGACTACACAACCATTCACAATGCCTCACGCAACCGTACGCAACTGTGCACGCAACCATATGATGATGCCACGATGTCTCACGCAACCGTACGCAGCCCTACACGCAACCGCAGGATGATAGGTAAGTTTGTCGTTTGTTTTCCGATCACTGTTCGGAGTGCGGCGACGGGAGATAACTCTGACTAAGTCGTCCAAGTCTGTTTATTCTTCGTCCGGATTTGCCAGTAGAGCCGGACTTTTTATTCAATACAATTTTATTTAACTCTCTAAGTCCTAGGGAGTTTAGCATCAGAAGCTCAGGGGGTGATAAAACAATTTTATAATTTCCCTAGTGTAACACATTAAAACATATTAAAGTAGATTACATTTTGATAAATAATAGAAATGCATCAAGCATACAACAAGTTAGGGCTCTCCTTTAAACTACGGCCGTTAGACAACAGTAGACGGCCGGTTAGTCAGAGTTCTATCCCCTGGCTGCAGTGCAATTACGGACTGGAGAAGGCACGAATCAGTACACAAAGTGAGGTCGACATGCCTTGCAGACCCCGCGCTGCAGCTCAAATTAGCGACTGCGTTCAATTACCACTTCTTGCGATGCATTATGGAGTGGATTAGAGGGAACGAAACAAGTGACATAATTACTGTGTGTTGGCAATAGACAGTGTGCAGTGCCCTACTGTCATCATACGGTTAGGGTTTGGGTTAGGGGTGGGGTTTAGGTTAGGGTTGCTACTTTGAGTTTGTGCGAAGACGAGGTGCGGCGACACTAACCGTAACCCTAACCTACAGCCTAACCCTAACCCTAAACCTAAACCAAACCCTACCCCTAACACTCGCCCAAACCCTAAACCTAACCCAAACCCTAACCCAAACTGTAACCGTATGATTATAGCAGGGCAGTGCACGCTGTCTATCGCCAACACACAGTAATTATGTCATTTGTTTCGTTCCCTCCTTTCCACTCCGTAATGGCACTGCAGCCAGGGGACAGAACTCCGACTAACCAGCCGTCTACTGTTGTCTACCGGCCATAGTTTAAAGGAGAGCCCAAGTTAGAAACTACAGAGGTGGTGAGTGTCAAAGTGACCACTACCTGGTAGGTGCAAAATTAAAAATCAAGTTAAACAGATCCTTCTACACCGAGCTGCACAGGTCACATCCAGTGTACAATGGAGAAAGATTATGAGAAACATACATATCAGAGAGATTTGCAGATGAATTAAAACATAAAACTGAAATTACAAAAAATCAGTCAGAGGAAGATATTGACTACACCTGGATGGATATTGAGAATATAATTCAAACCAATGCAGATGAATGTCTTGGTGTGTCTACCATAAAAATAAGGAACAAATGGTTCGATAACAAACGAGTAAAAGCAGTCAGTAAGAAAAAATATGCCGGGCAGATGTGGCTAAATGACACTCACTAGTAACATACAAAATGAAGAAACACAGAGAACAGAATGTAAAGAAGCTACAAAAGTAGTTAGGCACCAAAGGTCAGAATACACGAACAACATTGTCATGGAGATGGAAGCTAACCATCAGAAAAACGAATCCAGAAAGTTTTTTAAAGAACTGAAGGCTGTAAAATGAGATCATCAGCACATTGTTTATAGTTTATAAGATCACAATGGCAAGGTGATAAATAATATAAAAGAAATGTGTAATAGATGAAAGGAATACTTTTCTGAACTGTTAAACTGTGAAACTCCACTAAATACTTATCCACAGGAAGAGATACTAACATGTGAACCAAATATTGAAGAGCCTGATTTTGAAGAATTTATTGAATGTCATAAGCAGTTACCGAATTACCAGTATGCAAAAGACAATAGAAAACTGTTAGAAAAAAAAGTGGCAAGGAAAATTACTCATAAATTAGAACAAACAGGCAAACTACTATCAACATTGGGAAGATATCGACCACATAAAGATATGTGGAGTAAGCTACCGTGTTTACTTACAATGTCCATGAAGGTTGCTTGCATCAGTGGACATGTTCTGTGATACTAGACTTGGAAGATGCAAACCACAAGGTTCTCTTTGAAAAACTCATACACCAGCTCCTAAGTATCAACATTTCCCCAGTAATTAACTGGATAGCAGTAGCACCCTTCAAGAGACGGGTCATTTTAAAATGTAAAAGATGGATCTCTGAGTTGAAAACCATACACCCAGAACTCTAAAAGGAACTGGGACACATAGCAGATTAGTGTAAAAACTCCGGAGCATAGGTTAACCCTGCAAAAATGAGCACAACTTGGTTTTCTCTGAACAATCACTTAGTACATATAATAACACACCAAGCAAGCGTCTACCTCAAAATTACTGAGGTCTGTACACATCCACTGTGTGTGAAGAATACATGTAAAGGCAACAGGCTTAAACAAGACGAGTCTTGGTTTAGCCTTGCAGAGACAGTACTTCAACGGGTGATTTCCTTTCGAGACATAAACCATGGAGAGGAATGGATACCCATATCAAATGAATACAAGCAGTACTTTGTGGTGGTTATCACTTTGACTAGACAAAGCCGTGATTTAGCGCCATTAATAGTGGATGCAGAAGTGAAAGCACTGTTAGAGAAACACGCATCACCGGAAGATGCTGTTATATATACAGATGGTTCTGTGATTCGCCAGAAGCGAAGAGCATGGGCTCTTCACGGCAAGAACTAAAGGAAAAGTCTTAAAGAAGAAAGTGGAGCCTTTGCTTTTACCGCAGCAGCATGACAATGGATGTTATGGCTGTGACAAAGGCGCTAGAATGGCTGACAACTCATGTGTTTACCAATGCTTGCTGTCTCAGTGACTCAGTAAGCTACAGAAGATCAAGGCGGGAAATAAACAAAAAACAGTGGCGTCATCTGATACAGCACGCAGGGTTTTGCAAAATCACCTTTATTTTTGTCCCAGGATATGCTGGTGTGAAAGTAAATGAGAGAGCAGGCGCCCTGACTGGCAGGGCAACTTTCAGTTAATAGCCACTATGGCATAGCAACATCAGCATTGCCATATACCAATTGGAGCAGTGAGCTTCAGGAAAAACTATACTTGATAGGGAACCACCTGTTGTATACATTCAGTGAGACTGGAAAAACTATACGGAAACCACCTGTTGTTACATCAGCCAGAATAAAATGGGAGTTATCAGCCTAAAAACACTGAGACACACTCAGGCGGAGATGGGAGCACTTATGGTCCTGCCCAATATGCGATGAAGATTATCTTATAAATGAATAATAAACAATGAACAATGAGAGAATCACTTATACTTGGGATCCAGAATGCTGAGAGTAATAGAAAATTATTTTAATGTAGTGAAAATTGAGTGAGCACATGGAGCCCAATTTAATGAACGTTCCCCATATGGGTTCCAGGGACAAAGAAAATACCCATGCTCCGCCCCGCCCCCCCCCCCACTCCCACCCCCCCACTCCCAACAAGCATGTCATAAAAGATGTCTAATTTGGGATGTTTTCTTCAAAGTGGGAGTGCATCTGCTGCTTGAGAGGCAAGGAACCAACAGTCTGCTTACAAATAAACCAGATATGTAAAATGGAGGCTCACCTCTGAACTTCTACTCCATATTATGGCAGCCAAACAAATACCCTAACAGGGCCTCAGTCATGTGTAAAATGCAGACTTCCTCCGACGAACCATTGCGGCAAAACTAGGATTACTAGACAATGTCACGACACGCAACATAGCAAACTATAATAGCAACCGTTGACAATTTTGAGCGTTTCTGCAGATGATATTAGCAGACGATACTTGCAGATGATACTACCAGACGATACTATTCGATAAATTTCGAGACATGCAACATTACAGATGTTAATATGGAGATGGCGGGGAGACCACGCCCTCCGACGCAGATTGACGATAGTGTTCTTCCGATTAAACTCACCGCCGAGCGTATCACCCACACCGCTACGCACGGCGAGGATGGGGATTTAAACTAGATGCCTGGGACTCACGAGCAAATACATTGGTGGAAGTTGCAGGAGATGCAGTAGCTGCTGCTCGTGAGTCCCAGCCATCTAGTTTAGCCAACATCAATGTCGGCAGTGCGGCATAGTCGCAAAAACAGGTCCTCAATTAACATATCGCTGAGACCCTGTTAAAGCATTTGTTTTGTGTTTTGGGACCGATCCTAGTTTTGCTGCAGTTTGAACCTCGGCAGGAACTCCGCATTTTGCATAGGACTGAGGCCCTGTTAGGGTATTTGAAAAATAAATACACAGAATCTATTGGACAGCCAGAGTAAATATCATAGAATTAATCCAATGCACCCGCGACTGAGAGCTGTTAAGAGACATAAAAGTTACACCTTCTGGCAAGGCACATGATGATGATACTCATAGTGCAGAAGTTTGATATGCATGTGTGATGTAGTCTGATACTAAATAGAGATTTTTTAAAATCTGTCAGATGGTGAGATGCAAGACAAGGATTAAAGCAAACTATCAAGGGTACAATTAACATTATATTTCTGATCAGTGTTTGGTAACTTGTGGGAATATGGTGAAGTTAACATTAGAGCTGATCGCACGCAGCACATCCAGACATACACGAAGAAAGAAAGATGAGAATGTACATCAGTTTGTGCACCGGCTGACTCATTTGTACCTGGAGAATAAACATATTCACGATGCTGTAAGTAGTTGACGGAAAACATTTCTCTCATCATTTGTTTGTATGGTCCTATTTTTATGAATTTGAATGTGTATTTATGTTACTAATTTTTTCAAGTTCTGTTTTATTTTAATTTTTTTTTTTTTTAGTGCTGTAGTTTTTTCCTTTGTTTTTGAGAACTTAGTTACACACCGTTTTAAGAGACGACAGTGACAACTTTAATATGAGTGTTTTTTTAAAATAAAATATTTTCCATATCAATGACTTTTTGATAAGAATACAAAAGTCAAGAGCAGCTTTTGTGGCACTAGGGAATCTGCAAAAATAACAAGAAATGAAACGTACTATCAAAGTTAGGATATTTACATATAATGTCGAGACTGGCTGAGCAGTTAGAACAGTAAGTTCTCACCTGGGAGACCCAGATTCAAATCTTTGGTAAAGTGATATGGACAATTTTTCTGTCAGGGACAAAGATAAGACTCTTACCTGCACAGTTTGTTCATGGTAAATGCATAACCACATGTATGGCCAAAATTTCTTTTACTCAGAACCCTGCAAATTTTCAAAGCTGATAAACTTTTGTGTGTAATAACAATGCTGTCCTATGTGTCATAATGACAACAGCAAATATGGTAACATTTTGAGAATTTCCCTGTTCTTGTATTCTGACCCTGACACAAAGCATATGTCATTGAATCATTCAATCACTGATATTTATTTGAGATGAAATTCTTTTAAATTTCAAAATTTTTCTTTCTTTCTTTCTTTCTTTCTTTCTTTCTTTCTTTCTTTCTTTCTTTCTTTCTTTCTTTCTTTCTTTCTTTCTTTCTTTCTTTCTCTTTCTTTCTTTCTTTTCTTTCGTCTTTCTTTCTTTCTCTTTCTCTTTCTTTCTTTCTTTCTTTCTTTCTTTCTTTCTTCTTTCTTTCTTTCTTTCTTCTTTCTTTTTCTTTCTTTCTTTCTTTCTTTCTTTCTTTCTTCTCTTCTTTCTTTCTTTCTTTCTTTCTCTCTTTCTCTCTTTCTTTCTTTCTTTCTTTCTTTCTTTCTTTCTTTCTTTCTTTCTTTCTTTCTTTCTTTCTTTCTTTTCTGTATAATTCTTTTTTTTTACGCATGTGTACAGTATGTGAATATGCAGTGTGTGTATGTGTATGGAGGAACACAACATTTTACAGTCTTCTTTATTTGGTATAGAAAGACAAAACAGACATATACCTGATTTGTTGAAACCATAGAAATAAGATTTGTATTCCTGCAGGGTGAAGACCTGGTTCTGTGCCACAACCTGATTGTTCTCTACATGTACGACAACCAGCTGACCCACATCCCAAAACTGAGCTGCAGCTCCAGCCTGACACATCTCTACTTACAGAACAACAAAATCAGCAAAATTGAGAACCTAACAGTACTCGTTCAGCTGCAAAAAATGTAAGTTTATCTCATTTGTTTTTATGCACTATTTCTTAAACTTTTTGCCCCGTAAAAATCATTTTTTAAAGATAAAAAAGACCCTTTTTACAGTTTTGTTACAAAGTCATGCATTGCTGTCTGTGAAACATAGTTAATAAACTAGAGGAAGAGAAGAAGACGTAGAAGAAAGTGGGAGTCTTGGTCAGTTTTTAAAAAAATTCACTGGTTTACAATCTATAACCACCGAGTTATTGCATCCCACGACACCCAAGTCACTAAAAAGATGAATGGTTCATATTTAGATATTATTTTTGCTAAGGTGATTTTTTTGTAAATATATATGAAGGGAAGTAATCACTAAATACAAGACCATGGAAATAGGACTTTTTTTGATAAGCCACAAAGAGAACAATGTTGTAATCTTCTTCTTCTTCTTTTGCGCTGAGGAAGAAATAAGGTGCTTCTTGCTCATCTGGCTGCCTTGACCATGGACGCATCATACACTGTTATTAAGTTTCTCTGATGTCATCTTTATATTTTGTTTTATTTCTACCTATTGCTCTCTGTCCTCTTTTGGTGTATGTATCGTATGGTATTGCATCACAACTAAAAAAAAAATATTAAAAATAATGCTAGTATTGCAAATTGTTGCATGCCACCAGAAAAATAATGCCCCTAAGGGACGCAGAAAATCATAATGTGTGGTGGGGAAGCTGAGGAAAAATATGAGAATATCAGGGCAGTAAAGGGAAGCCTGAAATGCGAGGACTAGTACTAGTGGTGCAGAATAAGAAAAACATGGGCTGGATAAAAGGTTTTTGGTATATTTTTGTAAAACATGCCTTGCCATTGTATGTTTACCATTATTTAATTTCATTCAAGATTTCTTGGTGGGAATTTGATCACAGTCTTGGAGGGTCTTGAGAATTTGAAGCAGCTTCAGGAACTTCATGTAGAAAATCAGTGCCTCCCTCAAGGGGAGCATTTATTGTTTGATCCAAGGTCACTTCAGGGAATTTCCGTATGTTGACAATGTTTTCTAAGTAGTTTACAAATGTATTGTTTGTGACGTCTGACAGAAGGTCACAGTAGGTGCCTAATGAATGATGATAATAAAATTATCATAGTAAAATCATTAATCTCATGAGGTTCAAGTGCAAACCTTGCTAATAAAATCAAAGACATTGTCAGATTTCTTAAATATGTTGTGACTGAATGTAAATCACACAAGCTTTGCTGATTTTTCTCATGAAGAATTCTCAGTTGCACATATTTTGTTTCTTGGAAAGGAAGAATTAAAATCTGTAGTAGGATCATGTGGGGTTTGCATACTCCGGTCTTTAGTGGTAGGCACAGGCTCAAGATGGCTGCAAGTGCCTACCAAGAAGTGCGTCGTTAGAGTTGACTAATTCTGAGCTTTCTTCGAAGTTGGGGTTAATCTGCCTGAGAGGCAAGGAACCAACAGTCTGCATACACATGAGTCAGATCTGTAAAATAGATGTGCATACAAGAGTCAGGTTCTGAAATGGACTGAAGTCCAGAAGTGGACGAACAACTAGAACTTTCCACCGGAATGTTTATTTTGGGATGTTAACATGTTAGCATAGTCAATAAAATATGCAGTGAGATGTTAACATGATAGTCTATGATTTTGCCATTAAAAAAAAAATTGTTTTGAGAGTACAACTGGTCATAGCGTCTCAGGATTTTCCAGTCTTCACAAATTTTCTTGTTTAATATGTCCGTCTTGTCTTAATTTCACAGTATAGCACTGAATTTAATAGTGCTTATTTTAATTTTAGGTCTATTTCTATGCACTTTAATATGACAAAATAAAAGCAATGTCAAACTTTATGTCTCCATTTGTCAGGTGACGCTAGGTGTTGCATGTGCATTCACAACATAGAAACAAAATGGCTGACGGAGTGTACCTTCAAAGAATAACCTGCTGTTGTGCGTTTTTTTAGGTAGAACGGCTGCCAGCAAAAGACATTCATAAGGAAATTCTTCTTGTTTATGCTAACAAATGTTTATCCCATAAAGCGGTGCATAGCTGGGTAAAACAGTTTTCTCAAGGATGATCTGAAATCATTGATGAAGTCTAATCTGGTCATCCTGTTGAGATGGCAACAGATGTATCCATGCAGCGGTAGAGGAAATGATTAGAGGTGACAGGCGAGTAACGGTTGACTCTGTAGCAGCTGCAATAGGGTCCTCAAATGGTGAGGACGCAGAAACGCAGAAGTTGAATGTGAAGTGAAAATGTGGTTAAGAAAACAGAGCACTCAGTTCTTTGCAGCAGGTTTGGGAGGACTGATTAAAAAAAAAGTGCATCAATATTGGTGGATATTATGTTGAAATGTAAAGGGACAGTGTACCTGTAAAAAATTATTGGTTTTCAAGTTGTTTTCATCTTTATTTTTTTTTTTTAACAGCCATTTGTAACTTACTTATTGACTTCCCCTCGTATGAGAAAGTCTTTATGTTAATAAATGGAAAAGGTTAAATGAATCAGTCCAAAAACTGACCAATACTAAATGACATACAAAGATAGTGAATGAAATGGTTTGCTTATTTAGAGAGAATACCTTGAAATGTGATATCATACAAGGCATACACTAAAAGAGGAGTGCAGCAATAAGCCTGAGGTAGACCAAAAACACGATGGATAGATAACATCAGAGAAACTCTGCAACAGTACAATGTGTCCATGGTCCAGACAGCCAGCATAGCAAGAACCAGAACCATGTATGTATGTGACACAAAAGCAATAACTGAAGAAGTGAAGAACACCAAAGAATAACAATTTTGAAATTACTGTGTGCAAAATACACTTTGTGAACTTATTCCCTTTTTAATTGGAACATTTTAAAATACCTGACTTTGTAATCTAATACTTCTGCTCTTTGATTGCTTCAAGGCCTCGCTGCAGGTTTCTGAATATTTCTGGCAATAACCTGACCAGCATAAGTGAGCTAGGAAAAACTGTCCAGGTTAACTCAGCTGATGGTGATCAACAACCAACTGGATGATATGAAGGAGTTGGCCCAGCTGTTGTCTTCCTGGCAACATTTGTGGCGCTTAGACCTAACTGGCAATCCGCTGTGTCAGAAACCTAAATATAAAGATCAAATTATAGTCATGGCGAATCATCTGGGTAAGTCAGCTGTAACTGTGTGTGATGGTGATGGCGAGAAGTGCAGGAATGTGATAGTAACTGTATGTAATGGTGATGGCAAGAAGTGGAGGAATGTGACACTAACTGTATGTGATGGTGATGGCGAGAAGTGGAGGATTGTGACAGTAACTGTGTGTGATGGTGAGAAGTGGAGGAATGTGACAGTAACTGTGTGTGAAGGTGAGAAGTTTAGGAATGTGACAGTAACTGTGTGTGATGGTGAGAAGTGGAGGAATGTGACAGTAACTCTGTGTGATAGTGATGGTGATAAGTGGAGCAATGTGACAGTAACTGTGTGTGATAGTGATGGTGAGAAGTGGAGAAATGTGACAGTAACTGTGTGTGATGGTGATGGCGAGAAGTGGAGGATTGCGACAGTAACTGTGTGTGATGGTTATGACGAGAAGTGGAGGAATGTGACAGTAACTGTGTGTGATGGTGATGGTGAGAAGTGGAGGAATGTGACAGTAACTGTGTGTGATGGTGATGGTGAGAAGTAGAGGAATGTGATAGTAACTGTGTGTGATGGTTATGACGAGAAGTGTAGGAATGTGAAAGTGCCTGTGTGTGATGGTTATGACGAGAAGTGTAGGAATGTGACAGTAACTGTGTGTGATGGTTTTGACGAGAAGTGGAGGAATGTGACAGTAACTGTATGTGATGGTGAGAAGTTGAGGAATGTGACAGTAACTGTGTGTGATGGTTATGACGAGAAGTGTAGGAATGTGACAGTAACTGTGTGTGATGGTGAGAAGTGTAGGAATGTGACAGTAACTGTGTGTGTGATGGTGAGAAGTGTAGGAATGTGACAGTAACTGTGTGTGTGATGGTGAGAAGTGTAGGAATGTGACAGTAACTGTGTGTGTGATGGTGAGAAGTGTAGGAATGTGACAGTAACTGTGTATGTGATGGTGAGAAGTGGAGGAATGTGACACTAACTTTATGTGATGGTGAGAAGTGGAGGAATGTGATAGTAACTGTATGTGATGGTGATGGTGAGTAGTGGAGGAATGTGACAGTAACTGTATGTGAATGTGATGGCAAGAAGTGGAGGAATGTGATAGTAACTGTATGTGATGGTGATGGTGAGAAGTGGAGGAATGTGACACTAACTTTATGTGATGGTGATGGCGAGAAGTGGAGGATTGTGACAGTAACTCTGTGTGATGGCGAGAAGTGGAGGAATGTGACACAAACTGTATGTGATGATGATGGCGAGAAGTGGAGGAATGTGACACTAACTGTATGTGATGGTGATGGTGAGAAGTGGAGGAATGTGACACTAACTGTATGTGATGGTGATGGTGAGAAGTGGAGGATTGTGACATTAACTGTGTGTGTGATGGTGATGGCAAGAAGTGGAGGAATGTGACAGTAACTGTGTGTGATGGTGATGGCAAGAAGTGGAGGAATGTGACAGTAACTGTATGTGATGGTGATGGCAAGAAGTGTAGGAATGTGACAGTAACTGTATGTGATGGTGATGGCAAGAAGTGTAGGAATGTGACAGTAACTGTGTGTGTGTGATGGTGAGAAGTGGAGGAATGTGACAGTAACTGTGTGTGTGATGGTGAGAAGTGGAGGAATGTGACAGTAACTGTGTGTGTGATGGTGAGAAGTGGAGGAATGTGACAGTAACTGTATGTGATGGTGAGAAGTGTAGGAATGTGACAGTAACTGTATGTGATGGTGAGAAGTGGAGGAATGTGACAGTAACTGTGTGTGATGGTGAGAAGTGGAGGAATGTGACAGTAACTGTATGTGATGGTGATGGCGAGAAGTGGAGGAATGTGACAGCAACTGTGTGTGTGATGGTGATGGCAAGAAGTGGAGGAATGTGACCGTTAACTGTATGTGATGGTGATGGCAAGAAGTGGAGGAATGTGACAGTAACTGTGTGTGTGATGGTGATGGCAAGAAGTTGAGGAATGTGACAGTTACTGTGTGTCATGGTGATGGCAAGAAGTGGAGGAATGTGACAGTAACTGTATGTGATGGTGATGGCAAGAAGTGGAGGAATGTGACAGTAACTGTGTATGATGGTGGTGGTGAGAAGTGGAGGAATGTGACAGTAAAAGATGACCAATAGAATGTGTCCTAAATCACTTAAAGGCGGGATGAAATTATCAAGCAGTGTTTTATAGTTCATCATCATTACCAGTGTTCAACCAGTGTAGATTGTGTGGTTCACTTCACTGATACTGCCCCTAGAAATGCAGATATTCCTGTTTACCAATATTTGGGAGATAAGCTCTTAGTACTGCTGAGCCCATCTGGGTAAAGATTTGACATCACAGCATTCAGGATAAACCCGTATCAGCTCCGTCCTCTTCCTCAACCACCAGCAAAGAATCTCCATACTGAAGTTACCCGTTGTCATCGTCTTGTCCACAAAATCAGATTGCCAGGTCATATTTTTGCAGTGTGAATGGGTTTAAAGAAAATCTGTCAGGAGATGGTGGCTTTGATCTGTCTTCCCCGTGTGGGTTCCATGCCCTTTTATATCAGAAAACAAGAATAGACCTACTGCCTTCCCACCAAGCATGTCATAGGAGTCGAGTAACTGGGGACTTCCTTCAAAGTCGGAGTGCTTCTGCCCGAGCAGCAAGGAACAACCAGTTGCACACAATAAGCCAGTAAAACGGATGTGCATGCAAAAACTCAGCTCCTGGCACAATACCAAAGTCCAAGTGGACAAACAACCAGGACTTTCTGCTGTAGCTTACAGCTGGTGAACACTGAAGAAGAAGAAGGAGAAGATTTTTCTGGTACTATCCTTTTCATTTCTTAGTTTTAATCAACCAGTCAACCAACCAAGTAAAAAGTAGGTCAACCAGTCAGACAGTTAGTCACCAGCTAGTCACACAACTGTCTTCTTTCTGGGGCTACCTGCATGTCACTGACTATTGTAGTAATTGCTATTTTAAAAATAAATTAATAGTCAGTGCAAGATATGAAACAAAAATTGTAAGCAAATTTAAGACTGAAGCAAATATTTTCTATGTCAAACAATTCAGGAAAATATCTGTTAATTCTATACATAAAATTAAATAGTTACTGAATAGCTCAAATATTTTGTTAATAACATTTCTCAGAGGTGCTGGATGGCAAGACGATCACACAGACAGAGCGGCAGTTCCTAGTGAGCTGGCAGGCCATTCGTGATCTTCATTTGAAAAGATCTCAAGACAACCTGCTGAGACAGGACACATTTGCTTCTGTGTCTGCTGAAATGGCTGGTAGGTTTGATCACATTTAACTGGTTTATTGGGGAAGCTTTGTTTCGTTTGTTTGTTTGTTTCCTTCTTTCCTTCCTTGATGAATTCAAACATTCTACTTTGTGGTTTTGTATAAAATGTCCCTTCTCCATGCCTTTAGGTGTACTGGGGATATAGGGCTAGACCTATATTTTGATAGACCAGTGGGCACTTGGTGGGTGCTGTGGTCAGCATCACGCTGGCCGCTTTTACTTCTGAGGACCTGGTATGCACTCAGTGCTGGGTCAACCTGGGAGTCAAGGTCATTTTTGTGAAAAAAACTCCCTTGGTTTTGTATACTTGACATAAATACACATAATATATAGATTTTCAATGCCAAGGTCACACTGCAGCAGTGTTACATTTTTCAGATAAACAGTATCTTTCTACTTCTTTCTCTGAGTGCCAATCAACACATTGTCTCTTTGTTAATTATGCATTTTTCAGAGGCCAATTGGTTTTATTTTTTTTTCTCAAATGAATGCTCAAACCCTAAGATTGTGGATGTATTGCTATTTATTGGCCCTTTATATCATTACTGTCTCTAGCATTTTGCCTCAGTTCATGTGCTATCTTTCCATGCTATGTAACAAGGCTGTCCAGAATCTTCTCTCGCTGACTTACTTTTGTTTTTTGGTATTGTCAGTTTTGTTGTGTCCATCATCTTGCCAGTTGTTAATACATTTTTTTAGTTTTTTTCTCTTCTGATATAAAATATCTGGAATAATCATTACAGGTGGGCAAAATTTACCTCCTGTTGGACAGCGCCAGGCTGGTCTCTCAGCTCCAGCATTGCCAGGTAAATAAACATGTTTTTGTTGATGTTTCTTCTTCTTTGATTTGCCTCACATACTTATTTTCTGCAGCCTATGCGTGACTTAAATATAGATAACCTCAAAGCTACAGCCATTTTCACATGACTCACAAAAGCTGTAAAAATATACCCTGAATCTGCAGTAAAAACCAAGTCTGCACTGTATGGAACCTGTACTATCAGCTTTAATTGTTTGGCTTTTTTATGGTAGTTTTACTAGGTAATGTTATATTTAGTAGGTTGCCGTTACTAAACGGTCGGCTCTCGAAAACACTGTTGTAATCAATGCATAGCAGTTTGCTGCTAAATTAGCCCAATCTGAATTGAACTGGGTACTTCAGAATTATGAAACACGTTTTCATTGCTTGAGCCATGGACTAATAGTAGGCAAAGCTTGTGTTATGAAAAATAAATGAAGCATGCAATAATGAATGGATACTACATGGATGGCTCTGTTTTAGGGGGGCTAAGTGTTGGTGACTGTTATCAGTTATGAGCTAAGAACTGATATCATAGCATTTGGGACATTTCCGTGAATGCTCTGCCCCCATCTTCAGCAGCAAATGCAGAGTTCCAGTTTCATTGGTATAAGTAACATTCTGATTGTATAGCTGTCTCGTCCCTTCCCTGAGTGCTCAGCATCGACCAGATATGCTGGTTACTATACTTCTCGCAGCACCATTCTCTTCAGACTGTGATGATCTGTTTGTGCCTCCGCTGTTCACTCCTAACTCACAACATCTAGCTTGTCAGACAACAATTTACAACTTGTTGGTGCAGAACCAGCCAGTCCATCTGCTTGTTAATTTCCTAACACACTGGTGCACCCTGGAGAAACAATCCAAAGGGCGCTAACTACCCATGGCCTCTGAAGCAGTGCTTGCTGCTCTGCACGGGGCATATCCGTTTCCATCTTTTTAAACGTTCTCTGTAAATAAGTCACAGTCATAACATGTGTGTACAGGTGATTCTTAAGCCAGCAGAAGGCTGCAATGACCGCCTCTATCTCCATTCTCAAACTAGATGTTGTTGTATCAAATGCCAGGCTGGTGTCTGTTATAAAACAAAGAATCAGTTTCAATCATTTAGGCCTAATGAACACATGATATTGACACACATTTAAAGGCCAACCAACAATTAACAAATGACATGGTTAGTGTCACACTGGCTGCCTTTACTTCTCAGATGACTTCCTGCTACCCATTTTTAATCTGAGGTGACCAGAGAGCAAAGGCCAGTTTTGAGAATAGCTTTGATGGGGATTCAAACAGATGAAACAATGAACTACCTGTTGGAAATGGGTGTTAAATGGGGACAAGCATGCGGAAACTTGTGATGCAAAGACGGAAGAGACGCCAATCAACTTTTAACAGGGTACGTTGAGCTTGGAGATGCTGAGATGCTTGCTGCATCAGAGAGAGCACAAATGTGTTGGACCAATCTGCTGAGATGTGGATTCGAGCAACAAGTAACAAGTAACTTCCATACTGGCAGGCAAACTGGCATACAGTGGATTCCAGTGTCCCTAGTGGCTGATTAGCAAATTCCTTTGTGGCAACAATTTGATGCACAGAGTAGCCAAAATAGGTACCTGCGCTTGAACTGAGGAGAAGTATTTAAGAAACCTGGTAGACCATCTAACATCATAATATTCTGTAGTATATTGGTAAACAGCACAAGCTAATTATCAGAGTTATTTGGAGAAAAAACACACACACCACACACACACACACCACATGAACACCACACACTGAGAATATTTTATGTGTTTTGAACATGTGAACAATTCGTACATCTTACATTCTCACTAAACAGGAATGCAGCATAGACAGTATGGTGATGTCTTAGAGAAGTTCAGTTCTTTGGACCCTTCCAGAGCTCGGAAAGCCCAAAGTGGAATCTCACGAACAAAGTAAGAATTTGTTTATTATTTAATAGGCAGCTAAACTGCTTTTGGCATCTGCGGCTTATGCATTACAAACACAATAATTCCATGATCCCAGCTGTGGGTGATGTGTTTAACATTATGTCAGCCACTTTTACTTCCCAGGACTTTTCCTGGTACCCATTTAAGGCTGGGTCGACCTGTGAGCAAGGTCGTTTTTTTGAAGAAGTCTGGCTCCATTAGGACCTAAATCCACAACCTTTGGATCTGCAGTTGAGCACCTATGCACTGCACCATGGTGGCTCCCAAAGATGATTACATACTAGTTCACAGCTGATTGACTGAGAGGAAGGTAATGCTCAGATTGGTCCAGAAATCTCATGTACTTTTGTGGAAGACATTTCTTGAACTGAGCTAGCTTAGTCACAGTCACCGTCACCATGGAATGTAGTTCATGTGCTCCTCTATAGCACAATATATTACATTCATCTGTGAATACTCACTCAAACTGTCAACCACGGTTTCACCATGAAATATTGACACTTCACCGCCTTCATGAAACTGGCACAGTTATTTGCTGTCAGCTCATTGATTTGCTGAGGAAATGATCTGTGCATCTGTGGATATGTCCCTGGTGTATCTTTTGACATGTCTGGTGCATCTGTGGATATGTCCTTGGTGTATTGTTGGACATGTCTGGTGCATCTGTGGATATGTCCATGGTGTATCTTTGGACATGTCTGGTGCATCTGTGGATATGTCCTTGGTGTATCGTTGGACATGTCTGGTGCATCTGTGGATATGTCCCTGGTGTATCTTTTTACATGTCTGGTGCATCTGTGGATATGTCCCCGGTGTATGTTTTGACATGTCTGGTGCCTCTGTCGATATGTCCCTGGTGTATCTTTGGACATGTCTGGTGCATCTGTGGATTTGTCCCTGGTGTATCTTTTGACATGTCTGGTGCCTCTGTGGATATGTCCCTGGTGTATCTTTGGACATGTCTGGTGCCTCTGTGGATATGTCCCTAGAGTGTCGGTGGATATGCCCCTGGTGTATCAGTGGATATGTCCCTGATGTGTATGTGTGGTTATGTCCCTGGTATGTGTGGATATGTCTCTCATGTATAAGTGAATATGTCCCTCGTGTGTCTTTGGATGTGTCTGATTCATCTGTTGGAATGCCCTGGCGCATCTGTGAATATGTCCCTTATGTGCCTATGGACATGTCCCTGGTGTGTCTGTGGATTTGTCCCTTATGTGTCTGTGGATATGTCCCTGGTGTGTCTGTGGGTTTGTCCCTTACATGTCTGTGGATATGTCCCTGGTGCATCTGTGGATTTGTCCTTTATGTGTCTGTGGATATGTCCCTGGTGTGTCTGTGGGTTTGACCCTTGTGTGACTGTGGATATATCCCTTATGTGTCTGTGGATATGTCCCTGGTGTGTCTGTGGGTTTGACCCTTGTGTGACTGTGGATATGTCCCTGGTGCATCTGTGGATTTGTCCCTGGTGCATCTGTGGATTTGTCCCTTATGTGTCTGTGGATATGTCCCTGGTGTGTCTGTGGGTTTGACCCTTGTGTGACTGTGGATATATCCCATTATGTGACTGTGGATATGTCCCTGGTGTGTCTGTGGGTTTGACCCTTGTGTGACTGTGGATATATCCCATTATGTGACTGTGGATATGTCCTGGGTGTGTCTGTGGGTTTGACCCTTGTGTGACTGTGGATATATCCCATTATGTGACTGTGGATATGTCCCTGGTGTGTCTGTGGGTTTGACCCTTGTGTGACTGTGGATATATCCCATTATGTGACTGTGGATATGTCCCTGGTGCATCTGTGGATTTGTCCCTGGTGCATCTGTGGATTTGTCCCTTATGTGTCTGTGGATATGTCCCTGGTGTGTCTGTGGGTTTGACCCTTGTGTGACTGTGGATATATCCCATTATGTGACTGTGGATATGTCCCTGGTGCATCTGTGGATTTGTCCTTTATGTTTCTGTGGATATGTCCCTGGTGTGTCTGTGGGTTTGACCCTTGTGTGACTGTGGATATATCCCATTATGTGACTGTGGATATGTCCCTGGTGCATCTGTGGATTTGTTTATGTTTCTGTGGATATGTCCCTGGTGTGTCTGTGGGTTTGACCTTGTTGTGTGACTGTGGATATATCCCATTATGTGACTGTGGATATGTCCCTGGTGCATCTGTGGATTTGTCCTTTATGTTTCTGTGGATATGTCTGGTGTGTCTGTGGGTTTGACCCTTGTGTGACTGTGGATATATCCCATTATGTGACTGTGGATATGTCCCTGGTGTGTCTGTGGGTTTGACCCTTGTGTGACTGTGGATATATCCCATTATGTGACTGTGGATATGTCCCTGGTGTGTCTGTGGGTTTGACCCTTGTGTGACTGTGGATATATCCCATTATGTGACTGTGGATATGTCCCTGGTGTGTCTGTGGGTTTGACCCTTGTGTGACTGTGGATATGTCCCTGGTGTGTCTGTGGGTTTGACCCTTGTGTGACTGTGGATATATCCCATTATGTGACTGTGGATATGTCCCTGGTGTGTCTGTGGATTTGTCCCTTGTGTGACTGTGGATATGTCCCTGGTGCATCTGTGGATTTGTCCCTGGTGCATCTGTGGATTTGTCCCTTATGTGTCTGTGGATATGTCCCTGGTGTGTCTGTGGGTTTGTCCCTTAGGTGTCTGTGGATATGTCCCTGGTGCATCTGTGGATTTGTCCTTTATGTTTCTGTGGATATGTCCCTGGTGTGTCTGTGGGTTTGACCCTTGTGTGACTGTGGATATATCCCATTATGTGACTGTGGATATGTCCCTGGTGCATCTGTGGATTTGTCCTTTATGTTTCTGTGGATATGTCCCTGGTGTGTCTGTGGGTTTGACCCTTGTGTGACTGTGGATATATCCCATTATGTGACTGTGGATATGTCCCTGGTGTGTCTGTGGGTTTGACCCTTGTGTGACTGTGGATATATCCCATTATGTGTCTGTGAATATTTCCCTGGTGTGTCTGTGGATTTGTCCCTTGTGTGACTGTGGATATGTCCCTGGTGTGTCTGTGGATGTGTACATTGTGTATGTGTAGATATCTCCATAGTGCATCTGTGAATATGTCCATAGTGCATTGATGATAATCCACATATAATAGAATAGAAAGTATGAACCAACAAATTAAACATTAGAAAGAAAGCATATGTCTCATCTCTGTTATAACAGGGAAATAAGTCATTGGAACATCATGTTGCAGGATTTATTTAAAATACCATAAATATCAACTCTCTGTGTATCAGTCATGAAATCCTGCATATTTTAGTTACCTCATACATGGCATCATTTTCTCAACTCTCTTTATTCCATTCAGGTATGCATTAATCTACTATTCTAACTGTTGTTTTTACTCTGTTGTGCAGTTTTGATTAGTGCAACAGCTACTTGTCCACGTTCTTGTCACTTTAAGTAATTCAGTCCTAAACAGTGTGTGTGAACTTTTAACCTTTGAAACCTAACGATTGTATTTTGTGTTCTGACACTTTTTACATTTTGTCAGGGCATAGTAAAAACATCTGGTATCCTTAGTGGTCGTCTGCTGTGAAACTTTCTGCGACTGTAAGAAGTCAAGTAACACTGATTTTGAACAATTTTGAAAATTAAATACCACTTCAGGTGTAATGAGTTAATAATTAAGGTGGGAACTGTTTTCTGTGAAGTGTTTAACCCTTTCACTGCTTTCAGAAATCTGACGATCGGTTACAGAAAATTGTTTTCTTTGTATGGTTGTTGCATGACATTGAAAGGTTCATGAAGTAATACAATTATTTCAGGCTTGTTCCAGTGAGAATACAAATAGTACCCAGAGTGCCAGAAGGCATAGCAATATTCCCTCTAGACAGAGAAGAGTTCTTTAAAAGTCCATTGGTTAGTGAGCACTGTGGAGTGACATTCTGCTATTACAAACCTGTTATATCAAGATTGCCGTGTTGTTTTTCATATTCAGTTCCTCAGATTATTTCATATAATCACACCAAAACCAATTTTAAAAAAAAATTAATATTAAAATTGTATTACACATATTTCACTGGAAATAGTAATAAAAAACAACGTCTTTAAAGAAATATTTTAGTAACAACCACACACACACACACACACACACACAAATGCACGCACACACGTCTGTATGCACACTCACACATGCACATACACATTCACACAAACACACACACACACACACAGGCACACACACACGCATGAAAAAAGATATAGACGAAGACATCGAGAGGACTTGTCATCATGACATGGAAATATATTAAGATATAAATTGACAGATTATGGTTTGAAATTACAAAATGTGTGGATGATCAGCAGCCATGAGATTTGGTAAGGCACAGTGAAATAGAACAGAGAAGCTAAAGGCACGGTAAAGAGGAACAAACAAGCTAACAGATAACTGTTTTCCACATCCACAAACCATATCCACAAACCAGTAAACCAAGGTGAAATAGAACAAACGAGCTAACAGAGAATTTGTTTGCACATTCTTTTACAAGGTATACATGCAACTGAGATAATAATATCCATGTAAAATTCTTGATATCTGTCAAAGCTTGCAAACTGTTCAGTGACTTATCTTGTTTTCCAACCTTTTGTTTTAGGGACACCAATTCTGTATAAAAGGTTGTTAATCTTTTCTTTGATTGGGGAGATTTTGTGTTTGTTTGACTAGCGGGTTTTGTGTTCGTTGAATTTGATTGGCTCATAAGTATTTTTCTGTGTTTAGTTTTGACTTTTTAAATTGCATGCTGGGTATTTTATTGGTTTAATTGTAACTGTTTTATTTGCTTGTTTCAATATTATGGAGAAAAAAGGTAAAAACAGTTCAGCACTGATGGTAACAGAATATGCCAGTTGGCTTTGAATACCAACATGAAGCATGGAAAAGCTGCAGGTCATGACAAAATAACAATTGAAATGATAAAATCAGCTCTGGCATTGATA